AGACGTTCCTACCGGAGGTCACACTCACCGACCGGTTCCTCGTCAGCCTGCCGACTGACTACCGCTTAGAGCCATGGAGGTGATCATTCTCTTACGTGGAGCAGGCATACGAGGTTGCGCGTCAGTACCAGAGGATGTGCAGTCGCTTCTCCGTCGCCCTATCCTCTTCGCGGCCAGTCGCCACCTCCCAATCTCGCGGTACCACCAGAGGCCGCTCCTCGTTTGCTGGTCGTTTTCGTCGCCCGACTCGACCTGGAGCGTCATTCTCTCGGCACTACAGTTCTCTCGAGTATGGAGAGGACGCCTCCGCCGAGCTCGACCCTACCATTGGGGACGCCCCCGAGGACATCGAGCTTCGGGACGTCATCCAGTACCACTTGGATGACGACATTGTTCCGATGGCCGAGCGCTTGCAGATGGTCATGTTAGCCATGGGTCGTGCGCGCAGTCAGGTCGCACAAGCAGCTGCCCGCATACCCACAGTTCCTCAGATAGACCTCCCAAAGGGTTTTGTCCCTCCTCGCGGAGCTCTATCCCGTGAGGATCGTGCCGCCCTCGAGGCCCGTCGCGGCTGCCTTCGTTGCCGCCAGGATGGACACACCTCCTCATGGTGTCCATACCACACCGCCCTCGATCGGTGCTACGCTGACATTTCTCGTCAGCGCCGATCTCAGTCCCCCCCCGGCCCCGCCCGGCCAGCCCCACCCAGCTAGCCACGGTGCTGTGTACCGTTGAGGCCTCACACGTAGCCGGCTTCCCGACCACCGAGTCGCGGTTCGCCCCTTTGGCTACCCCACCAGAGGATCCTCAGGATACGACAGATGCAGTTCCCTCTGCTCCGTCTTTTGTCGAGGTACCGTCTGCCCCACAGCAGACCGCCGCACCTAGTGCTTCCCCTCTAAGACTTCCGACGCATCGCGCCATTCGCACAACCCGTTGTAGTGCTCAGTTGGCAACTCTCGACGACGTTGTGTTATCTCTCCTAGATTTAAGCATTCTTCAGGCTCGTCAGGAGCGACTCACGAGACACGTAAACGTCCTGCGTCGTCTTCTCGCTCTGCTCTCTGACCCTAATCGCATCCTCCCCATCATCCCTATTCGCCTGGGGACATCTACGAGGGTCTATCACGCTTTATGGGACTCTGGCTCGCAGGGAAATTTCGTTCACCCTCGAGTGGTTGAGGAAGCTCGCCTAGCTACCTTTGAGTCTCGCTCTCCTATCTCCGTTACCCTCGGAAATAACAAGACGCAGCGCTTCTTCGATCAGACGGTCCCCGACCTCCACTTCTCCCTCACCCTCCAGCCACCGGATAGTACCCAAGCGCCTCGGCGCTACTATTTCTCCGCATACTTTGACATGCTGGAGATTGGGTACGACTTTTTCCTTGGCACTCCCTGGTCTCGCCGGTTCCGTAGCACAGAGGCCGAATGGGCGACTGAGACACTCGTTTTCAAAACGAAGTGTGGTCAAACCCATCGAGTCCCCTTCATTGGAACCACGGGCGACGCCCCTCCAGACCTACCTCCTTAGGCCCCTCATCCTTCTGGGTCCCACCTAGACATCGCCTTCACTTCTCCTCGTCAGTTTGCTCACTTCATCCGACAGAAGGACGTCATGCTTTACTCAATGAACGTCATGGATCTTCTTCGCTACGATCCACTCTGTCCGGAGGTTGAGCTCATCTCACTGAAGCCCGATCCCCCTGACCCTTCCTCCATCTTCGCGGCTCCCATCTCTACATCCACCTCGCAGCCTGCGGATACCTCCTCGACATCCCAGGTTCCTACGCCGTCCACTGCCGAGTGCACCCATACGTCTCGTGCCGACGCAGACGTTGAGGAACTCATGTGGTTCACGGCTGACTTAGAGCCCGCCGTTCGTGACCTGATTCGATAGTACCGTGACGTTTTTCCTCCGTATTTCTCATACAGCGGGATTCCCCCGATGTGCGGTGTTGAGCATTCTATCCAGCTCGTGCCTGACTATCATGTCCACCATCAGGCACCCTATCGACTCTCGATTCCTGAGGCGACGGAACTCAAGCGTCAGCTTGAGGAGCTCCTTCGACTGGGTTTCATTAAACCCAGTAACTTCCCTTGGGGTGCACCTGTCCTCTTTGCTCGCAAATCTGACGGAACTCTCTGCCTCTGCATCGACTACCGCGGCCTTAACCGTTACACGGTTAAGAAAACAGCTATCACGTGCCCCTCGCAGATGAGCTGTTTGACCGTCTGGTAGACAACCGCTTCTTCACAAAGATCGATCTTCGTAGCGGTTACCACCAGATCCGCGTTGCCACAGAGGATCAGCCGAAGACCGCCTTCCGGTCGCGCTTCAGCCACTACGAGTTCACAGTGATGCCGTTTGGCCTCACCAATGCACCCGCCACCTTCTAGATGGCGATGAACGACATCCTCAGGGACATCCTTGAAGAATACGTTCTCGTATACCTGGATGACATCTTGGTCTACAGTCGTACCTTAGAAGACCATATCAGACACCCACGCGATGTCCTACAGCGCTTACGCAAGCATGACTTATATGCCAAGCTCAGTAAGTGCCGCTTAGCCCAGCGCAAAGTGGACTTCCTAGGACACCATGTGTCTGACCAGGGTCTCCACATAGAGGACGCGAAGATCATTGCTATTGCAGAGTGGCCCGTCCCCACATCTGCCAAGCAACTTCACAGTTTCTTAGGCCTCACCAGCTACTATAGTAATTTTATCCAGGGATACGCTAGGTATTCCTATGTCCTTACCTCCACCCTCCTCCAGAAGAACCCGCTGTGGTTTTGGACACCCCTCTGCGAGGACGCCTTCCGCGCCCTCAAGAAGGCGGTGACTTGCGCGCCGGTTCTTCGCCTTCCTGATTTTGATCGTCCCTTTATCGTCACCACCGATGCGTCAGATTTTGCAGTAGGAGCTGTCCTTTCTCAGGTGTTTCCCTCTCCTCCAGATTCACCTTACCCCCATGTTCCTCCTTTTCTCCCCCCTCCTGCTGACACTGCTTCTCGACTGACGCCTATCCTACCACCACTTCCCTCCACTGACAGTCCTCCCATTACTTACTCCCCGACCATCGCGGAGGATGGGACTGTCGAGGCTCGTGCTGGGGATTGCCCGATCGCTTTCTACTCCCATCAGCTACTACCTGCCGAGATAAACTACACTGCCGATGAACGTGAGGTTCTCGCAGTAGTTTATGCTACCCGGCATTGGCGTCATTATCTGCACGGGGCGCCCTTCACGGTGAGCACGAAAAACTCAGTTGTCCAGGCTTTCCTCACGAAGCCTAAGCTTTCCCCTCGACAGGCACGCTGGTGGCGTGACTTATCCGAGTTCAGTTTCACCACTCAGCCCATCAAGGGTGAAAYGAACCGCGTCGCCGATGCCTTGTCCCGCCGTCCTGATYACAATCAGGAACCCATCCATCTTGCTGCCATCTCCATCACCAGTGTTGATCAGTSGGTGATCGACGCGTATCGCACTCAGTACCGCCACTGCCCCGATTATCGCGTCATCCACGTGACACTGCGGAGTAGCAAGACCGTTCCTTCCTACTCCCTCGGGGAGAACGGCCTCGTGTACTGGCATGGCARATCTGGTCAGCTAGAACCACGTATCWGCGTTCCCTCCACCRGAMAGCTCCGCGTCCAGGCTGTAGCAGAGTTCCATGACCAGGMAGYTGCCGGTCATATGGGTTTCCACAAGACGTTGRCTCGTGTTTGCCGCCTATACGTCTGGCCGAAGTCCAAGGACTTTGTCAAAGCCTACATCYAGGAGTGTCCTACCTGCCAGGAGGTGAACAGTGCGAACCACCTTCGGTATGGGTTACTTCAGCCCCTACCCATACCTGAAGGTCGTTGGCAGTCTATCCTGATGGATTTCATTGGTCCCCTCCGCCCACCCACTCAGCGCGGTCATGATGCTATCTTGGTCGTCGTCGATCGCTTCACGAAGCGTGCACGCTTTGTCCCGTGCCACTATCGCATTAATGCTCGTGAGGTCGCCGACATCGTCTTCGACCGAGTCGTGAGAGATCACGGCTTACCTCAGAGCATCATCTCCGACCGTGACCATCGCTTCACCAATACATTCTGGCGACGCCTACACGAGGTGTACGGATCCCAGCTCCGCTTCTCATCGTCTTACCATCCCCAGACAGATGGTCAGACTAAGGTCACCAATAAAACTCTCGGTAATATCCTCCGAAAGTTTGTTAGGGATGACCAGCAGTGAGACTTACACTTAGCCCACGCGGAGATTGCGTATAATCACGCTGTTTCGCTAGCCACGGGGATGTCGCCATTCTATTACGACCTCGGCTACCACCCTCGCGTACCCGTGGACTTCCTACGACCATCGCGGTTGCGTCCAGACACTCGTTGTCCTGCGCTTGACGAATGGATCGCCCACATGGCGACGATTATGAAGCGCGCACACGAGAGTCTAGCCGACTCCCAGACCCGAATGGCCGCATGAGCAAACCGATCACGAATGGATCATCCATTCAAAGTCAGTGACGATGTGCTCGTCGACGCACGCCATTTGCAGCTCGAAGCGGATACGCTTCGCAAGTTCAGGTGTCGTTTCTTTGGTCCATGCCGCATCCTTCAGGCCGTCATTTCTGATATTGCCGCTAGTCCGGTCAGCTTCTGTGTGAAGCTACCTTATTACCTTCGTCAGACTCGCGTCCACGATGTTTACCACGTCTCCTTGCCGCATCCTTATCGCAGACCGTCCGCGCGCTTCGCCGGACGTCCCTATGAGCGCCCTCCACCTATCATGGTGGACGGTCATTCATTGTTTCCGACATCGTATCACGCCGAGTTACCGACGATACCCCTCCACGCATTGAGTACCTTGTGCGTTGGAAGGGTTATCCTGATGAGGAGGCTACTTGGGAGCCCCTCGAGCACTTGCAGCACGCCAGGATGTTGGTGCGTGCATATGATCGTGCTCGTCGTGCTGAGATGTCTGCCCGTGCTCAGCCGACTTACCCTCTTTCTCCTCCTCCGGCTGAGGAGATTGCCGAGGACGAGCCCGCTCCCTTTGAGGCCGTTCCTCAGCCGCAGACGGTCGCCTTTGAGCGTCCACAGCGCACTCATCGTCGCCCTTCGCGTTATGATGACTGACACTCTTATCCTCTATCTTTCCCCTACTGACTCACACCATCAGGTACTCCATCATCAGCTTCTTCAGGATGTCAGCGTTTTGCGGCTCTGCTTCGACTCGACTCGACTGCTACTCCATCGACGTCATCGACCACTTCGACGATTTCAGCCACCTCATTGGCTTCATCTACTTCGGACGTGACTACTTCACGCCACCACCCTACCCTGTACATTTCCTTGCATTTGTCGCATGATGGTTCTCACTTAGCTGGGTCTCTTTGAGTTGGGCTCTCCCTTGGTATCGCATAGGCATTGAGACCGTAGCGTTATCCTGGTTTCCCTGCTCCCAGATCTAGCTCCCTCCTCCCTCAGTCGGTGAGCTGTGTGCATGTTTCCCTCACCCACTGCCCTCGTCACCCTAGTGTCGGCTCCTGCATGCCTTCAGTTCGGCATATCCCCTCCCTATTCTAGGCTCCACTTTTTTATGGTCGACCCTGCATGGTGTCACCCTTTTGTCGAGCATTACCCGCCCTGATGGTCTATCTGTTAAGGTCATTGGTTTTGTTTTGCTACCACTCCCCACCCTGAGTCTGATGACCTATCCCACCTTCATGTGTGACTGCCCTTAGGAGTTCCGATTCTTAGGCTGCATTCACCCCCTCTGAGACCATCCCACTCTTAGTGGTTCAGCGACATGACATTACCTTGTGACATATTGTTCTTTTACTTTCAGCACATAGGCCATTGCCTCCAGGACCTTAGAATTGTATCATGCTACATGTCATTTTCTGCTTTTAGTTAGGATACGTATACCAGACATTTGCTTTTCATTTGACATTATGTAGCTTAGGCTGCATCGCATGGACTCAGCATAGAGCTTGCTCTGCATCCTAGATTTCTCACCTTTCTTTATTGAAGAGTTCCGCAGCTTTTGCGGATAGCGTGTTTATGGCTCTTGCGATCCACTACAGGTCTGAGGATCGTGCAGCGGGCCTCTATCTGCCCTGGCCTACAACGAGGGCCTATCTGGCTATTTTCCCTGTTCGGCCTGTGGGACCAGGCCATGGCCTGATCCCACAGGCCGTGTGGTTATTCAGTCCCGTCCAGTCCTGCCCGGTACCACTGTCGGTACCAGGCCAGTCCAGTCCAGTCCAGTCAGTCCGCTGGGGGTATACCCCAGCTGCAGTCTATTTTGTGACTCATTCTTCATTTACACAGTTTGGAGTACGTGCGTGTTGAGTCTACGTTGGAGTTGCGCTGTCCCTTCCAACTCGATCTCCATCTCCCCCATCCTCATCCCTTCGTCTTGATCCTGATGGACCACCATCCCGGCGGGTCCGTCGCATGTCTGATTGAGCCTGTTGCAGCGCATCCCACTCAGCCATTAGGCTGACCCTAATGGGGCCCCACACCAAGTTGGAGATGGGGTGGGAATTCATACGGTGTTCAACATATTGGATTTTTCGGATTAATGCAAGCTCCTGCTTTTTCCGACCGTCTGCTAATATACGAGAGAAAACACTGAGGTGCTTGGAAAGGATGCGAGAGCCCGCATTCCACCACTCCAATTTGGTCGCAAATGAGTCCGTAGTCGCATTCCAATCCTTCCAAAACCGTGTCATCCAATCCACAATCCCTGGTTCCTCCAAAATCTGAGTGTTGACCCTAAAATAGCCTTGACCTCTACTTAGTTTCTTCGAGTTGAAAGTGGCCGTAACAGGCTTATGGTCCGACATAGGGTGAAAGGACTCTTCAACCCTTACTGTGGCATTCCAAGCATCGGGGGAGGTWAAAAAAAARTSTAATMTTCTATGAATGACCCYRATKTCCTCACGTGCRTTCGAAAACCAGGTGCAGCCAGGGGAATCYGGATGCATTAAACGGAAARGCTCTACCAAGTCCATAACCGAGATCGTTTCCACTAAAATCCTCACATCTGAGTGGCCTCTCACGCCCTCTTGATTATCCAGAGATRTATTCCAATCCCCGRTRATAAYCAAATTTCCACAGCAAGGAATCAAAGAGGGCAAGTCATAGAAGAACCGTTTACGAGCAGAACAATCGACTGGCGCATACACAGTGGCAACCACCCATTCCTGATCCTCCAGACAAAACTTTACCCATGCCCATCTACCCCAAAGGTCGGCATAATAATCGATGATCTCAAAGTTAGAGGACCCATGGAGTAGAGTTGCAACTCCCCCTCTAGATCCTATGGCTGGGGACCGGATTTGAGGTCCGTCCCACCAATTCCCAAGCTCCCCGATCTTGTCCTTTGATAACTTAGTCTCTTGTATGCAGGCGATATCGAGTTTCAGATCACGTATCCAACTGTTCAGCCCCCCTCGCTTGTTTCTACCTGCTGTATCCCCGAGACCCCGAACATTCCACGTGACAATATTAAGTTTGCCCATCTACCAAGGCAGTCCCCGATTGTTGGATTTGGACGGTTTGTTGAATCGGGACTTGAATCCCCGGCAAGGGTCAGTGAGGGCTTGTTTGATGAATGGGGAGTCCAACTTCCTCTCCCTCAGAAGCTTGGTATTCAACTCATACAAAAACTCAGCTGAGAGGGCCGGTGAGACTTTAATTCGGCGAAGACCAGACTTCTTCGCCTCCAAGAACCATGCAAACGGGATGAGGCGGAGACCTTCCGATTCCAACTGTTCTAATTGACCCATTACAAAACGACCATCGAACAAGGGAGCGAAGAACTTCACTCGTTTTCCTACAACGTCAATCAGGAAGCAGGGCATGGAGACCTCAGCAATAACACGCAAGGCAAATTTGTTTTGAAAAAGCGTGCGGGCCATTGATTCAGTAGCATGCGGCATAGGGGGATCCGAACATGACGTACTAAACAAGCAGGGGGAGCCGTCCGATCCCATCCAGGCAACCACCCAAAACGCATTCCTAGTGTTAACTCAAACTATGGGAATCAACTTTGTTTCCAACCCTGATTGGCCTTTTGACAGAGCATCCAAACGGGGGCGATTAGATTTTTGCTTACCTGATGAACAGGGGTTGCCACGTAGATCTCCTGAGGCAATCGAATGATACGAACCTTCACTAGATGCATTAGAGGGTTCCGATTGGCCCATCAACCTGAATGTCGACACCGCTAGTACCGCTCACCCGTCGTTGCTTACTGGGGATTCCCCCCGTAAACGAGAAGCACTAGGGCCAAGAGCGGGCACCCCTGAAGGTGTATAACCTGTGGAATTGAAACTCTGGCCTCCTGTCATGCTGGAACCTCCTTGGCTGCAGGGTCCTCCCGGGACTTGAGTCCATGGAGTATAAGCTTGGAGGTTGACAAATGATGGACTGCCGGTCAAAGAAGCATCCAGAGGAGCTTGTTGCCATGTGAACGGATGCATCGGCAGGTTCTGGAAGAAGGCCGCCCACGGATTGGCTTGGCCTCGAGCCAAATTTTGAGACATGGTTCCTTGTAAAATTTGACCCGCTCCTGGCGAAAACACAGGATTGAACTGGGACGTAGAACCTGGTATGATTACTGGTTGAACAGCAGCTTGCATGTTGGTCGTTGGAGCCGAAGAGGATGTCGCTTGCCAAGTTGCTACTGACTGTGCGGCTGGAGCAACCGAGACGCCTGGCGCCCGAATGGGGCCGTGATACTGCGGACGGGGGGAAACCCCCGTACCGGGAGCGGACGAGGCTTGATGAGGTCTTGATGTCGTGTCTCCTCAATTTCGCCGATTAGGGCGTTTGCAATTTTCCTCCAGGTGGAAAAAAGTACGGCATCTTCTACACCACTCCGATTCCGCCGAAGCCATACGAACTTCAAGTAGGTCTCCCTGATGGGTTTGAACCCAGATTTTATCCTTCATATTAGCCTTGGCCGCAGGATCCAGGTCAAACCGCAGGTTGACCAATTTTGGATCAGTCTCGTCCGCCTTCGGTTGGTGGTGTTTAATAATTTTGCCGATTGCTCTTTCGATATGCATGTATATAAACGCCATCTCATCCAACTGTATGCCTACGGCCACCACCCAAAAGGTGTTCTCGTCCACTGTTCTCCTCCAGTCGGGAACCTCCGCTCGTGTCATCCACGGCTTAAACTCCGTTCGGTAAGTCGTGTTGGAGAGATCAATGAAGTCGGAGCGCTTGCCCAACATCCAGTCCGTGATCGCTTGAGATCTTGGAATGTATGAGACGGCATTAGGGCTTTCAACCTTGATTCTACCTCTCTTGAAGTCATGACCAAAGGTCTCGTCCCGAATCCAGACATCCTCATACGCTCTGATCAAGTCCTCCTTCACTTTCTTAGCAAGAAACCGAGCGCCCTCTCGAAAAATGACAGTCACCATTCTTGCCTTCAGCCATTTCACCTTAATCTCGTCCACCGCAGAATTCAGAACGAACTTAGCCTCTCTTCCTTCCACCGTCATTTCGCCTGAATCAATGTTAGTCGGAAGGATCCCTTCCTCATAACATGCTCGGATCGTCTCCTTCACTCTGTCCTCCTCCAGTTGGTAATTACCAGGAACTTGAGCCCTTGCATCCTGCACCTGCTGAAAAGTCTCTTCCGGCTCCATGCTGTCTCTACCATCTTAGAGATGCTCTGCACACGGGTTTAGAGTCTTCGCAATACTGCTAAACTTGTTTTGAGGCCTTGAGGAGGTTCGCCGAAGACGTAGCTGTCTGCTGATATCGTCGCTATGGTAGCACACCATAGCCCTTCGTCAAGGCGAAGGGAGGGAGATATCACCTACGGAAACGTTTTCGCGACGAAAGCGTCCGCCGCCAGACAGGCTTACCGAAGACGAAAACGGTAAGCGGCGTAGGGACCGAGCACAGCTGCCAGCCGCAGCGCCCATCGCCGGCCGAACCCCCCCCCTTTTTTTCCCGCCCTAACATTTCTGCCTCACAGAACTGTACGATGTCACACTGGTTACACCCAAAAATATATAATAGTGTTTTTTTTCTTTTTCTTCGAATGCTGAAATAACACGCACGGCTGTTTTTTTTTTTTCTATATTCTTCTCTCAACTTCTGTTTCTTTACCTTTCACTACCTACAGCGAAGTGGTTGAGATGTTTAAGGATGAGAGTGACATCAAGCAAGAGCAATAACAACAATAGGCAGATAGAGAGATGAAGGATTACAAAAAAAAAAAGAAAAAAAAAAAGAAAAAAAAAAAARAAGATCTTTAGGAGGTCCATGTGACAATCAAGAGCCACTCAGGGGTGTAAGCTTGGTGAACTGGCATCAGGAGAGCAGCTGACACGTGAACCCGAACCCAATGACGACTCGGGGCACTTCCAAAAGTTTGGGGGATGCATCAATGCCATCCAACTTGATCCAAGTAGGAAGTGATTGTTCGAAGTGATGACTGACCCACTTACCTCCAAAAGGAGGCCCCTTTTTTGTTTTGTTTGTCTTTTTCCCCAAAAGGAAGCCTTGCAACTGTTTAGCTTCATAAAAAAAAAAAAAAAAAGACTATCTAGAGGGAACCCCTGCAAGCATAGTTTCCTCTCTCTGCACGGATTTCTTGAAATACCTCATGGAGAAAGAAAAAACCGAAAAGGTAATTTGAGACCACCTCTGGAGGTGGTCTCAAAAAGGGTCCTCCGCGGCCACGCAGGCTGCTGACAAAAGGGTCACCAAAAAGTACATTTGGGTAGCGGGCCTCTCAGATGTGACCTGAAAACTGCCTCGGATTTTGAGATTTAAACCACCAGTACTTGGCCCAGCTATCGATGCCGAGCCTGGAATGCCCACGCGCGCCAATTTGTCTTCCAGCCATTGTGGTCCGGTACCCCGAAGCCCTAAACGCGCGGAGCGCCGCAGCCGATAGCTGGGCCAAGTACTGGTGGTTTAAGGTCATCTGGTACCCGTGTGAGTATGCCCTGAGTACCAAAAAAACACAAAAGAAAACCAACGACTCGTGAAGTCACAAAAGACCGGCAGGCGTAGCTCTGTTGGGACACCTAATGAACTGTTGAAATACAGACCTGCATTCGAATCCTGACCTTATGGAAGCAGAAGACTTGGGCCAAGGACAACCAGCTGGCAGCAGTTACTGTGGACAGAAAACTGGAGATCTCCCGGTGGCTCAAACCGACATGAAGGGTGTGTCTTTACAGATAGAGGGGAGGAAGGCAGTCAGAGATGTAATCCTTCCGCCTCAGACATTCAAGGCAAGAAAGGACTGTAGGATGCATGGACCTCTGGGTCTAGGAATGGCTAGATTCAGTTTGCTTTTACTGAGCTTCAAGTTTTAATTTTTGGAAGGATTTTAGAACAGAAGAAGGAAGCTGGACCTGGTTTCCAGCAAGGCCCATATCTGGGTACTAGCCCCAAAGGTTCGCCCGGGTTGTATTGTGAGGATTCCCGGCCTCTTTCTGTTGGCAAAAAAAAGCTTTTGATTCCCTGTATGACTATAGTTTGGAGTACTGGTAAGGGGTCGGGTGCAGTTGGATCAACGAAATCAATGCTGATGAGATCTGAATGCACGAGGGGTCATCAGGCAAGAGGATTTAAAAGACTGCCTGAAGAGATTGAAGGAAAAGGTAGAAAGCTGTGGGATAGCAGGGAAAAGAGATGCGGGTTAAGATGACAACATACAATCGGGAGGAAGGGTATTAGACATGAGGTCTTCATAAATGCTGCTAAAAAAGCCACTGACTGCGTGGATTTGCAGATGACACAAGTAGATAAGATCTGATATCGAGGTTACCCCCGTCATTTACAAGCAGAATTCTCCGAAGGCTGTCTGTCATTGGCATTGTTTCAAACCTGTATAAAGTATATGATGGGACGCTGGACCCGCTTTCCAGCAGGTGCTGCTCCCCACCAATAGATGGAGCCATCCAAAGCTTGGTCTGCTAACGGGGGATGCTCCTATCACCTCCATTAGCACGATCCATGACACAGCGATGTTTAAACCAAAAAAAAAAAAAGGTTGGTAGTGTGAGGTGACATGCATAAATTGAAATTGAGAGAAGAATGTTGCTTACTTTAAAATAAATAAATAAAAAAGAACTGGGTGGGGGTGGCGGGGTGCCCAGGGGCATATTTGAACGATGCAGAGAAGATAAGCATGGTCCCTGCACAAGGATGACACTCATAGATCGAGAACTCCATTGGATGATATCTCAAAGACACACACGGAAAAAGAAAAGAAAAAAACGAAATAAAAAACAAAAAAAAGAAGGCTGTGCTTTGCCCAAGGAATCCAGTTGAACGATGCAGAGAAGATTAGCATGGCCCCTGCGCAAGGATGACACGCATAAATAGAGAACTCCATTGGATGATATCTCAAAAACACACCAAAAAAAAACCCCAAAAAAAAAAAAAAAAAAAAAAAGACTGTGCTATGCCCAATGAATTCAATCGGCGTGATTGAATGAATCAAATCGGCTCTCAGTCGCGGCACCTCCTGTCCCAGCGAACGAATTCTCGCCCTCCGGAAGTGGCACCAAGGCTGTCCCACTTCATAACATAGCCGTTTTCTCCAAGTGGGTGCTCGACAACATTTCGTCCGGCAGGCCCACTGGACGGACATCGGAAATCGCGTCCGAGGGGTCCGAAGATCACCACGTCAGCACTTCAGTTTCAAGTGCGGGAAACTCAAGTGTTT